ATATTAGTATACATTTTGAAAAAAATCCAATTTCATGTATCCATTTTAAAAATAAACAGAAAAACTTACGTTGTTAGTATTTTTTAAGTAAAAATATATTTAGTCTATATTATTTTGCTTTAACATATACATTTACATTCCTAAAAGCAATGTAAATAAAATTATAGTCAAAATAAATTACTTGTCCACGACAGATGAACCACATGCTACAAATCACAAACCAATTCAAAATAATTTCAAATAATCAAAATCGTAATTAGTGTATATGACAATAATTTACATAAATCAAATTACTTCTATAAATTAATCATATGCTCAATATTCATAATACATTTATAAAGTTGATTAACGTTACTCTGATGCATGTAGTTTGTTCGCGTTTATTGCTGCTTATAATCCGTAATGTAAAAATTTGTGATTTTTACATTAGTCGTTTTATATTTATCTAAAAATATCAGCTACCTAAAGCATATAAAAAATCGAACAAAAAATTGTCCATAAAAAAAATTAATATTGATAAGAATATAAAATATGAATTAAATGTTTTACATCGTTATTCTTCTCTATCGTCAATTAAATTCCACAAGTTAGTTAATTTAATTGGCTGTCCTAGATTACTAATTATACAAACTTTAATGGTCGGAAAACTTCAACGAAATCATTTAAAGAAATATTATTTTTATTCGTGAAGCATTATTTAATTTACCAACGCCCTAGCCATTACTTCAACATATTAACCTAATTAGAAATCAAAACATTTGCATAAAAGATATGGCGAGGAAAAGTAGTTTGCTTAAGGGGGTCTTCCTATGTGATGGGTTGAAAAAATCGATTTTTTTTCATAAATTGCTCCCTTAACATGTCTAGAATACGGTAGTGAAGCGATTTTAGAAAATTCGAAGTCGTTTTTAAGATACAGCAGGTAAAAGAAAGAGCGGTTCGGAGCGCTGAGTTGGCAGTTAGAAACTTTAAACGCGTTTTTCTCACAACTGTGTTTTTCAAACTTCCCTCCATTGTATCTCAGAAACGGCTGGACCGAATTATTTGAAATTTACAGGGCACACTCAAAACTTCGATTTTTTTATAGCAAAAAACAAAAAAACGCCTAATTTACAACTTTTATTTCAAATGTCTATCAAAAATCTAATTTTTTTTATATTCATTTGATTATAGGTCATTCCGTGCTTTTAAGCCTACAAATTAAAACGTCGTTTTTTTTCAGATAAGCCGATCAGCCGGAATTGTGGAGGAAGTGGAAGCTCTTTTTTTCGAGGCGGGGGTGTTCAGAGCGCTGTAACTCTAGTTTGACTGAATATTTTTAGCTGAAATTTCATATTTATACTGTCCAAATATGTGGTAATAAATGATAAAAAAACTTGAAGCTCTAAATATTTACTGGTCGTAGAAAAAAAATCCTAAAATATCCCTAAAAAACAGGCCGTCACATAGGAAGACCCCCTTAATATTACTAGAATCTATTAACTACGTGTATGTATTATTATAATTTTGCTCTGAAATGACAACTGCATGCTGGCTTTCAAGTTGTTTATGATTATAATTAACTTCACGTAGAATAAGTTATAGTAATCGTTAACTTCCCGTAGGGTAAGTTATAGCAATCGCAAAAAAATCGAAAATGAAATTTTTTATAGATCTTTACGTTTCAGGGGTTTCTGAACATTTTGGCATACCTTAGAAAAAATGGATGTATATGTGTGTGTGTGTGCGAACACAAATTTTCGTCGACGATTTTGCGAATACAGATCAACCGATTTGAATAATTCAAAAAACAAATTACTTCTATTGACGAAATGAACAACTGGTAAAATTCGTCAGCGTCTCCGTTGCATTATAATTGCAGACTGTTAGTAAGAGCATTATACTTCTTTATCTATGATATTATATCTTATATTTTTCAATCTATATGTTCTATTTAATTTTCTTCATAATTAATTTGAAAAAATTATCATATGTTAGATTGTTTTCTTATTTTCTGTTAATTAACTTCCCGTAGGGTAAGTTATTGTAATGGGCCGAAAATCGAAATTGAAAATTTTTACATTTCTCGACGTTTTGAAAGTTTCTGAACATTTTGGCATACCTCAGAAAAAAAGGATGTATGTATGCGTGCGTGTGTATGTATGTATGGATACAATTTTTCGTCCACGTTTTCGGGCGCACGGAACAACCGATTTGAATGGTTCAAAAAACATTCGATTCCCATTGATAGGGAGATGTGCTGATTAGTTTTTGGCAAAGGCAGGTCCAGCCGATTAGGAGATACGGAGCAAAGAGTGCAGAAAATAGAAATCGAGTTTTTGAGAGATCGGAGCATCCGATTTGAATGATCCCAAAACATTCAATTCGTAATGGCGGCGAGAAGGGTTGATTAGTTTTTGGCAAAGGCAGGTCCAGCGGTTTCGGAGATACAGAGCTAAATGTGCAAAAAATGGCAGTATTTGAGAGAACTAAGCGTCCGATTTGAATGATTCCAAAAACTTTCTGCTTGTTTTAACAAAATAATTGATTTTGGAAAAAATAATTTTGCTTAAAATTTTTTTTTTAATTTTTTTTCTAAAAAAATTTTTTTCTGTATATCGAAATAATTCAGAACAGAATTATTTTAATTCTGTTCTGATATGCTTTAAACAAATAATTTCAACTTTCCAATTTAGTTTATATAATCCTTATATATATTCGACAATGTTACAATATTTGTAATAATCTATTTTAAAACATTTAATATTCCTCGATCATTTCGTTACGGTACGGGAAGTTCCAGCAATTTGCCTTAAGGCACGATGCCATACACCCCACTAGTTTTATACTTAAACTAGACAGAATACAGATAACTTCTACTCATTGTCATTTATTTATTATATTCTCTAGATGACCAATATAAATAATCTATAAAAAACTAAATGGAAAAACAGTAAAGCAATTTTGGTTCTATTACAATAAATTGAAAAATTATTAAACGGAAATGATAGATGTTAATTAAGCACCGGTTTTATTAACGGTATTAAATGCAATACAATTGTACTGAATTTTATTGAAATAATATCATTCAAATTATGAAACTATAAACGAGTTTAATAACAATAATATTATGAAGTAATGAAAGTCGTAACGATTATAGCGTTCATTAACCTAATTGGTTATATGAAGCGGAGTTACAAAAACGATGCAATTTGAATGCAACTATTTAATTAGGGATTTATACAAAATTTATATATATATATATATATATATACAAAATGCAAATCAGTTCTTATTGTTTATTAATTATTAAATTCTTAATTGTTAACTTCCCGTAAGGTACTTATAGTAATAGGCCGAAAATCTAAAATGAAAATTTTTGCATATCTTCACGTTTTGAAGGTTTCTGAATATTTCGGCATACCTCAGAAAAAATTGATGTGTGTGTGTGTTTTGTATATCCGCATTTTTTCGTCCACGTTTTCGGGCGCATGGATCAACCCATTTGAACGGCTCAAAAATCATTCGATTCCTATTGATAGGGAGATATGCTGATTAGTTTTGGCAAAGGCAGGTCCAGCCGTTATGGAGATACAGAGCAAAGAGTGCCGAAAATAGAAATCGAAATTTTGAGAGATCGGAGCGTCCGATTTGAATCATCTAAAAAAACATTCAGTTCGTAATAATGGGGAGAAGTGGTGATTAGTTTTTGGCAAAGGCATGTCCAGCCATTTCGAGGATACAGTGGCAGTTTTTGAGAGAAGTAAGCGTCCGATTTGAATGATTCAAAGATCTATCTGCTTGCGTTAACCCGGTGCCAATGACGCTGGGTCATAATGACCCGAGACGTTTTTTAACGAACATATATTTTGTTTACCCGGGTTATGTGGTTTAAGCGTTTGAGTAGCTGAAGCGATGCCTCCCCGCTACCCAAATATGTCCGTCCAAAAAAGATAAGAAGACAAGTCATACCTGTCATGAATGTCAAATTTATATATGCCCTGATCATTTTATTACCTACTGCAATAATTGTAGTAGTTCGATGTCAGTAAATGAGGAAATAGAAGACTGATTGGCATTTATAATTAAAAATAACTTAATTTGATCTCTTTTTTAGTATTATAAGATGTTTGTTACCAATGATTATTAACATTACTTAAACCAAAACTTATAATTAACATATGTTGTTTGTTCAAAGTTGATTTTGCATGTCTTGTTAAGTATGTCAATAAAAGTTTAATTATTATATATTAGTTTTATTTTATTTATTTTTATGCAGAAAATACCTTTATTTAGTAAACATTAATTACAATTTAGTAAAAGTATATATTTTTTATTATAAATCCTCAATAAAACGTCGGGTCAAAATGACCCAACGTCATCGTTCTTGCAATTTTTTTCGCGTCATTGGCGCCGGGTTAACAAAATAATTACTTTTGGAAAAAAAATGTTTCAATTTTTTTGTTTAATTTTTTTTTTTGTATATCGAAAATAATTCAGATTTTAATGTTAATTCTGACTAAAGTTCTAATGTACTTCAAACAAATAATTTCAACTTTGCAATATTCAGTTTAAATAATTCTTATAAATATTAGATAATGTTACAATATTAATAATAATCAATTTCAAAGCATTTAATATTCCTCGAACATTTCGTTACGGTACGGTAAGTTCCAGCAATTTGCCTTAAGCCATACACCACTAGTTTTTTTTCTGTTGCTCCGTATAACGTGACATTTTATTATGCATTTTTTAAAAATATTTTATTTATTTTTAATGCTGAGAATCAAAATGTGCATGTTATTTCAAAAAATATTTTAATTATAGTTGAGCCGTATCTTTAGTAAAAGAAATATACCCTAAATAATATGTCACGATATTATGATAATTAAATATTTCGTACAATAACAAAACTTTATACTATTCAAGTATAAATTACACCAGCAACAATACATCAAAAATTATTTATGATTACTGATAAGCTCAGTACCAATGTTATTAATAATAATAATAAAACTTACCGGTTAAACTCGCAGACACGATCAAAAATATCCAAGCAACAATTAAATTTTTATCTGCCATCGTTTTGTATATTTACTAATTTATAACTCTCAAATTTCCTGGCACATTGCACCGAAAAGTCCTTAAATTACTTATTGAAATACATCACCAAATGCATTTTTAACTTAAAATTAAACCACGTGCTTATTTCGCCGATCATGTCACATTAGATTCAGCACAAGTCGCCTTTTCCGAGTTCAAAGGACTACTGATTCAGTTTCAGTTTGACCGACTGAAGAGGGCATGGACTATGTAGTGGCGCGGGATATTTTCAAGAACATGCGCCTTGGGGTGTTACCACACTAACATACTTTTATAAAATGAGATAACAATTTTATTTATAACTTAGAAATGAATAATTCGGAATGATTAAAACATGTTTTAGTTTTATTTTTACTTTATATAAAAATAAATAAATTTTAATACGTTTTATGTTTTAATCAACATTTAATAATTTAGTTTCAGTATTACAGTAGAACTCCAATTATCCGAACTCCGACTATCCGAATCGCCGATTATCCGAATCACTTTCAGAAAAAAAAATTGTCCAAAAAAAGTCGAAGTGCGCTATTATTCTTCCACCAGCAAAGCCAGTGTAGGCACATTGTTTGTTTTGATTTGACGGAGATGTTTACAAAACAATTATTTTTATTTCTAAACTTGTATATAAGTACATTTTATTTATATTTAAAACATGTGAAAATGTCATGTTTCTTTCATTTAATTCAATAAAAAATAGTGCAATATCAAAACGTAACTTTTTTCTCTCCAATGGCAATTTAAAAAAAAACTCCGATTATCTAAATATTTGATTATCCGAATGGGTCCCGGTCCCCATTAATTCGGATAATTGGAGTTCTACTGTATCGCATTTTATAACATATATTATAATGTTATTTTAAGTGCACTTTCTTTAAAATGCCAAGTTACAATCCCTTTTAAATTTTATTACCATCAACATGACATTTGTTAACATTTGGATTAAGGTAATTAAATCAGTCAGCAAATAAGTAAAAGTAATTTGTTATAAAATTTCCACTTCAAAAACTTGTTTAAGTTTTAAATTTTTCTAGTTAGTTCTGGTACCCGCAACTGGTGTTGCTAAAACACCAGTTTTGTCTTTGTCTCATAATACGGTAGATATTAAATACTAAAAACAAATATAAATCAATATTTAGAAAAATAACTAGTGATGCATTGAATTCCTGGAACTAAAAATATAATAATTAACAATCAACAAAAATTGATCATTGATTAATAATAATAGTTTTAAATTAAATTAATCAATGCTTTAAGAAATAGCATTCAATTACATAAAATAATTAAATTAGACCAACAAAAAATGTAAAACTACTTAATTTTAAAAGCGTTAATTGTGTATAAAACAATGCATACAAAGCGCATGTCGTTCGTGCGTCGAGCGCCAATACTGTTTATGTAACTAAAGCTAAGACCGTATAAAAACATATTCTGCTGTAATCTATTGAGTTTATCATTTAAGAAAATAATTATAATAAAGTTAAATATACATTATCTGGACGTTATATAATCACAACTACAGTCAAAAACTGAAATACTCACTTATGACACACAGTTATGAAGGATCCAAGCGCAAGCGTTAAACCACTAACATAAAACTGTCTTGGTTTCTTCGAAACTTTCAACATGCAGCGCCGACGACCCGGGTACGTTTAGCGCCCCGGGTCGACACGCTTTTGTTGTTGTTTCAACAAAAACCAGGAATAAAATGAATAATGTAGTTCGACCATTTCCATAACATCAACAAACAATATGGTAAACAGTTTGTAAACAAACTATTTGATGTTGTATCAAAATATCGATAAAGTAGATACAATTGCCATCTTTTGGTAAATTTGATTTTAATTCGTGTATAAAAAATTATCTTTGGCAACTGAGTTGGCGGTATCTTGATCTTGTAAACACATTTGTAAGTAATATTAAGGAGACGTAAAAAATTCGTTAATGCTTTCTTAAATAAATATTATGTAAATATTATAGGGCTGTTAATAACTACGTGCGGCATGAAATTTTTGAAAATAGATCAAGGTTGTTGTCATTTTTATATCAATTGCTATTTATTTTTAATTTATTATATTAGCTTTAAATTTTTTTATACAACACATTTGGCATTTCTCGAGCTGTTTAGAGGATTTGACTTTCTTTTAATAATTACCAATGGTTGTACATTTAAAAAATTTGTTAGTGGTGCATGACATTATGTATTAAGGCAGATTTATTTGATTTGAAAATTAATTTGAAACAATTGTTATTAATCATTGATTAATTTTTATTTCTGGAATGTTAAATTACAATTGGGGAAGTCCCAGCATAGTCTCAGCCATAGATAAAAGAAGAGTATAGTCATAGATAAAAGAAGAGTATAGAAGAGTATGTGGTTCCAGCAATTTGCTTCAAGATATAATACCACCATAATACAACTGTTTAAGCAAACTTTAATAAAAGTAATAATTTTTTATATGCGTCTTCAAAGACATTCTATTGTTCTTCGATTTTGTTAAAATACAATTGCAATTATAATTTATTTATATTTATAATATAAATATAATCCAGAAAAGGATGATCCGTAATATATTTATTTAATCACGCGCTGTACTGTTATTTGGGATACCTTTATGTGTCGATCAAGGGTGACGAAACACGAGGCCTTTGCAAGTGCGAGTGAATACGATACACTGATAAGTTTAAATATATAGAAGACTATAGCCCAGTAATACTCTTGTTGGGATAGGACCACCTCATTTAATTGTAGAAACCACATTTATATAAAAAAAATTACTACTAAATCAAATCCTTATTATCCTGGATTGTTCTAACTATTCATATACATTTAGTAAACGCTTCGGACTGAAAATCTGCGATAAATTCTGCAAAATAAAATAAAAATATACTGAACCCACATTTTACAAGATTTCTCGCCACCACGCACTTTACTCCGCAAAAGCATTAATGCAATGTCTATTACAATTTTATGGGTCGGTTGTAACCATTCTTAGATTATTCTTTTATGTTTAGTCCATAATCTTTAAATCATGTGCCCTTTTTACCATTTATAGTCTGAATATGTAATTTAGTATTTGCTATAAAGTGCACTTGAAACGACACTAGACGTTAAGATTCTATAACCAATAAATAACGAAAAGTGTTATATAAATCTTTTATATGCACTTTATTTTAGTACAGCGCGACCAGTATAGGAAATATGCCTATTGATATTGTGTAATTGGATTAAATAAAAAAAAAAGTTGAAAAGTGTACACAAAAACGTTATAACATATACCAAATTTTTATTAGTTTGCATTCTTATGTAGTTTAATTCACACGCGCCCAAAGAAGTAAGTACTTTTCAAAAATGTAATTTCAAGTTACATATATTTAAGACAACGAATACACTTTCGAAAAGACCAGTAAAAACTCCTTCGCGATCGCGATAAATTAAGGCATTTTAAAAATATTCAATACTCTGAACATATCTAAAAATAAATTCACATGATATGTTAACATATCATGTGAATTTATTTTTAGAAGATATTAAATATATAAAATATTCCAATATTTAAAATACTAGCAGTCTCTAATTTTCTCAATTAAAACTTACAAATTAAGTATTCACCAATTTATTTACAATTTAACAATATACATTGCAAATAAATAAATACTTATGACAACAATTAGTGAGCAGATGTAAATAAATTAAATTAATGTCATGTAAGCAATTCGAAGTACATCACAGATATATTCGTAATCATAAGTAAAAAATAAATATTTGTTAACAATTTTAATACTATTAATTCACAGATTTTTACTATTTTCATTACACTTACTTTGCAAATGTTTGCCACTTGTGCTTGGAATACTTTGATGTGTTGTTTTAGTAATTTTAGCAACACTTTGTTTAGTTGACTCCTCCAAGATGTTTTTGGTATCGTTTGTTGAAACTTTTTTCTCTTTTAAGTTATTTAATTCGGCTGTTTGTTTCATTTTAATATTATTAGTGTAATCCAATTTCTTCACATCCTGCTATGAAAAAATTATTAGTAACATGAAAAAATATTCAAACTGATAATAATATAAATACACAGATTATTTAAATAGTGGCATGCATCTTAATTTGTTTTGGTCTTACATTTTTGTCATAGGATGACTGGCCAGACATTAGCTGATATTTCCATGAGAGAATTTACATCTGAACTCATAAATAAAAATTATGTTAAATTTTGAAGGAAAATTCATATTAATCTAGCATGCACAATGAATAAACATCCAACTTTTAAGAAAAATATGATAACTTGATAGGTAAGTGGCATTTTAAATCAAGGCAAGTTGCATGAACTTCCCGACATAAATAATTAACTTAATCAATAATATAAGAATTTATGTGTGATTTATAAGTATACCGAGTAGTTGTAAACCATCATAATGTGAAAAGCTATCGCAGATTATTCAGGATTGTAGACTAAAACGTTGACAAAAAAAGTTACACTTCTCTGCTAATTTTAAGGAAACGGCTCGTCCGGTCAACGCGCAAAACTAATCAAGGCAAGTACTTATCGAGTTACATCAAATGGTTTTAAAATCTTTGAAATCGGTTCAGCCGTGTTTGAAAAATATCGACGAGAGTCCAATAATCGACTCACATACACGCATACACATACTTTTTCCAAATTTGAATTCATTCGAATCACAATGACTTGAAATGACGAGAAGACTTAAAATAAGCAAAACGGCTTTTTGGCGAAAACAAACATCTTTGGGCAATTAACAAATTCATTAAGATATAAATATTGTAGCCAAATATGAGGAGAACTATATTCAATTACCTTTGCAGCACCGGATGACGGTGGGACGGTGCTTTTTTGTTGAGAGGTTTCTTTAGGAGTCACTTTGGTACCTGGTACAGGTGAGATTGGCACATTGTTGATTTTACTTTGTGTAGATTCGGAACTTTGCTTAGCTTCTTTTTCTTTCTTTTCTTCTTTTTCAATAACTTCTTCCTTTTTGAGCAATTGCACTAGTTCATCAAGTTGTTTAGTACTCATGTGCCCATCTTCTTTCTCAACAATGTCAATAACCTATTAAAATTATGAACCACATTAGTTTCTTAATAGAGTTGCCAATGTATTCCAAAAAAGAAATAGTTCCATATTTATGAAAAAACTTTATATAATTTTAGTATAATTCAATTATTACCTTTAGTACATCTTCAACTTTGATGTGTCCATCTTTATCTGTATCAATCTTGCTTAATATATTCTCAATCAATTTCAAACGATTTTCATCAGGTACATTCTTGACTTTCTTTATGGCTTCCATAAGTTCCTCAATAAGAATCTCGCCTTTAGCTTTCCGCTGTTCTTGTTCGCCTTAAAATTAAATATTGCCATAAAAATATTTTGTAACTATAACCAAGTCTATATAATATATAAAAATACTTTGTGTTTCAGTAGCGCAAGTTTGTGCTTGTTGGAGGGATTTGGCTTTCTTTTCTGACTCCTTGTTTTCAAGTTCTTGAACAACCGTGTCCATTTTAGTTATCATTTTGTTCACCTTCTTCAGCAAACTGAAATAAAATAATAAATTGGTAAATATCAAATCCAAATAAAATATAATTTAATATAAATACCGTTTAGCGCCCTTTGTTTCTTGTATTTCATCTTTAGGTTTTTCTGCAGCAACAATAGCTTGTTGCAGCTCTTGCACGTCTTCCTGATAGTCAGCAATTTCTTCCTTGATGTCTTTGATAACCTCCTTCTCAATAACTAAAGAATTTTTATCTTTGGACAAAGTATCAAGCGCATCTTCGACAACCTGAAATTAAAAGTGAAAAATTTAGTTTTATAAATTAATTATAATTATTGTATAATAAGTTATAGATAAATTACCGCCAAATCCTTTTTGGTAAACTCTGTAGCATCTTTCTTTACTTCCATAATTGGCTTCTTAGTACTGACTGTCGCACTAGGGATAGGAGGTACTTTCGGCGGCACTGCAGCTATTGATGGAGCGCCTGATGTTGGAATCCTCGAGCCCACTACTGCCGCAGTGTCTTTAGTACTTATTGTTTTAGCTGGGTCTACCAGCAGTTCTGATGTTTCTGCCAGTTTTCGTCTTTCTTCTTCTTTCGCCTCCTGCCTTTCTTCATGAATCTTTCGCTCTTCTTCTTTGATCACCTATGCAAGACAAGTTAGAACTTTAGTAACATCAATTTGTTCATTATTAGCATTTTGACTGCTATGGTCTTACAAATCTCATTTAATCAATTAAAGCACTTACCTCAATCTTAGTCTTGTTATCAATTTTGCCCTCTCTTTCACCAATGGCAGCTTTCGTTTGAGTGACAATAGTTTCAGGCAAAACACTAATTGTTGCTTTCAGTTTATCAGAAACAGGAACGTTTTCAGGCAGCATAAGAGCTCTAGAAAGTAGCAGTAAGGACGGTGGTACCTATGAAACAGTTTATCAAAGCATAAAATGTAATCATCAATATAAAAATTAATGAATAATATGTAAAACAGTTAAAATAAAGATAGGTCTACTGGTAGATACCTTTTCATTGAGGCTAAGGTTTATCCAATCAGTTAATTGTCTTCGAAGTCTATGTTCTGGCATTCCATAAGCTCTCATACCGCGTGCTCTGCAAGCTTGCTGGACCTCAGAAAGTGTCATGGTATCAATTCCCTCCCTTTGAATTAATTTGTCATCAGCTGCTAAAGACCGCAATTTCATTCGCAACTGAAATCGCAAGAAATTCGTTGTGCCTGCAATACAATTATAATTATAAATATGATATATATGTTAAAAAATATTTTAAAAATACAGTACCTAAAGTATTTATTTCAAGAACTCGACACAGTGCAGTCAACTGAGGTCTAGAAAGTGAGTCCAATGTTATCTCATCCTCAAAAAGTTTTGAAAATTTCATTATCTCTTCATTACTGGCTTGCGCACCCGACTGTCTCATTTTTGTGAACCATTCTGAAAACTCTTTAGCTAATTCTGATTTATGATCTTTATGTTGGAGAGTCATGTCATCTAAAGTTTGTGTCAAGAACTTAGCCATTTCAAGTTTTACCTACAATATTATTAATTTCTAATCATTTGTACATACATAACATTGAATATTTATTTCAATTTTTTCAAGATTATTAAGATTGTAAATTAAATAAAGTAAACAAACCTTTAGGCTTTGTTTAAGTTTATCTTCCTTCTCTGTCGCTGTTTGAAAAGTTGATGGTAACATTCCAGGAAAAAGTTTAATTGCTACTGGCAGTAAAAGCTCCATAAAAGGTACAATTATAAACACAGAAAATGGCAACAGTCTGAACATATCAGCAGTAGTTCTGACCAAAAGTCTGTGCTCTCTTCTGGTCAAGGATTTTCCATTTAATATTCGCCATATCAATTTTCTTGATACATTAATATCAATAAACAAAAGTCGAAAACCATGATAATAATGCAGGAGTTCATTAACAATCCTTTGTTTCAAAGTTTTCTTAACTGGTGCTTTTTCCACTGTACCTATAAGTAATGTTAGAAATAGCTTAGTTATAATTTGAAATTATATAATTCCTTAATATTTTATCCTAAAACTTATTTAAAAGAATCGGAATGTTATTCTACTATAGTAAATATACCTGCAGCTTTATCAGGAGAAGGTTTGGAAACAACACATTCTTGTTGCTTCAGTTTCTGTTCTTCTTTTAGTTTCTGAACTGTGACTTCAACCTTCGACGAAGGCTTTGAAACTCCTTCTTTTTCATATAATCTGGTATTTGTATTAAAATTTCTCACAAGAAGTACAGTTGGTATTGAATTGGTATTTGAATATTGATATTCCTCCAAGGGAGAGAATGACTGACTGATACATAAATAATTATGATTAAGAAAATTAGTTTGATATAAATTAGTACGGGTTGGCTTTGAACGAGCTAAATAGTATGCCGCACGATTTAAACTCATTTTTAAAAATTATACTATTCGCACTTCCAGTTCAGAACTTTGTTTAGGAACTCACAGTTAAGTTGTTCGCAATTAAATAAGGCGTGGTGCAATTCAAATCTGAAAAACATTGCAATTTCAAAAATTACAAATCTTAATTTAAAATAATATTTGATATTTAGGATATATTTGACATATGAATACGCAATATAAAACAATCACATTAGTAGAATTCATGCAGCGAATAAACTTTTTGTCACCTAGTTTTGACGACTCGTACATAAATATGTTATATTTTCTATAAATATTACTCATAACTTGTTATAAATTGTTTATTCTGAATAATAACAATCAATCACTTGGTAACATAACCTTTCAAGTTTTTTCAGTTGTCAAAAACTATTAGGCAGCTGTCACACACAACAAATTTTAATAGGTAACGGCGTAATTGATTATTTTAGTTATTAATTAACGGATTTTTTATAGACCTGGTTTATTTTAAAAAAATAAAATAACAATAGCAATAGGATAGCAATCATAACGTTTGCAGAAAAATACTGTAGAAATATTTTAATGAAGATTTTATAATAAATAAAGGAAAAGCATGATATTGAAGCAATATATCACAGTAATAGATTTGACAGTCACAAAGGTTCTTTAATAATTAGTCATAAACTTTTAGACGTGACAGACGCATAAATTTATTAAAATTCTATTATTACTAATTTTAAACCAATTTCTGAAATAAGGAAATTTATTCATTTCCTTACTTTTATTCCCATCACTGAATGCCTTAAAAAATGATTAGGGTGTAGGAAACTTATAAGTTTCCTTTAACGTTTCCTTAAACTTCCTAGAATATGCTGTTTGATTGTAATAGTTAGTGAGAGTTTTTTCCTCATTATTTCTAGCACAATTATTTCTACTATCTTCTGAGTAAAACTGACCTTTGATCAGCTTTTGTGAAATTTTATTATATTATTTATTGTTATTGCCATCTTACACAGCTAAAAAATATAATTTTGAAAATATGAATCGCATAGCAAACTGTGTATTTTGTCAAATATGCGAAGGAACTGCTCCAAGTAACACCATATTTAAAAATGAAAATTTTATAGTATTTGCCTGCCGAACACAAGCAACTAAACATCACTATTTAGTTTGTCCAATTCAGCATATAAATGATGCAAAGTCACTAGTACCTGGCCAAGAAACTCTTGGTAAGTATATTCCATTGACGCAGATCTATGAAATAAAATTTTACAAAACTTTACTCTCCAATTTCATTTCTTTTACATTAAGTTAATATTTTCTAGTCGAAGAAATGTATAAAATAGCAAAGCAAATAGTTATCGACAAGGGGGAAAATCTGAATGAAGCAAGATTTGGTTTTCATTGGCCACCCTTCCATAGCATATCACATTTGCATTTACATATTTTGGCTCCTGTTGACGGTTTAAGATTTTTTCATAGGCTTATTTACAAACCGAACAGCATGTGGTTTGTGTCAGTAAGTATTTTTTATATTCTTATTTGTTAAGTATTAGTATTCATGCAATATTGAAAGTATGCTTTTTTAATATAGCCAGAATATGTGATAACATGGCTGAAAACTCATAGGGCAATTGGAAATGAAGAAACTTCATCCAACTAAAGCAATAATGTGATACACAAAAATATTTTGTGGTAAACAGAATGATGTTTTTATTAATCCAAAATGTAAGTTCAGCAGTATTCTATATATTCTGCTATACATATAAATATTTTTTGCTATTAGGTTTAAAAATAAAAATGTTTCACTATTATTTAGAATTAGGAATTCATTTTTTGCAATTTGACTAAAATCAATAAAATTGTCACAAATTATGAAAATAAATAAAGTTAGCTTATTATCAATTTATTAATTATAAAGATCTCATATAAAAAATTCAATCATTCTATGACATTTTATCACATTACAAATGTGATCACTTGATATAAGCAAATAAATTAACATGGACCTTGGCCACATTCTTAAAAACCTATATATGTTGATAAACGCATTACAACTCAGTCTTTCTAGCTTTTCCAGAGCGATCATAGCCCTTAAGCTCTTCTGTGGAATGTTTGGCAATGTATTTAACAAAGTCATCTACTTCTCGGCCACCCTAAATGAAATTCATTAATTGGTTTTAACTCTTGATAAAATTAATTTGCATTTATGTTGTATTTCACACATACCTCGTATCTTACTGGAGAGTCTTTAGAATCTTTAGGAGCCCAGTACAATGTAGGAAAACCACTAACTTCATAAGTTGATGGAACGTCATTGTTGGAAGCATCGATTTTAACAATTGCTACATCTTCATCTTTCATCTACAATTTATAAATTATATATATATATATATATATATATATATATATATATATTAATATCAAAACTCATACTTGTATGATAGTGATTTTTATAATTACCTTTTCACCCAATTCATCATAAACTGGAGCCAGTTTTTTACAATGTCCACACCAAGGAGCATAGAATTCAATCAGAGTATCTTTTTCATTATTTGTGACAATTTCATCAAAGTTCTTTGCAACAGCTACTTTGACTGGTCCATCATTAGTCTCAGGAATAGGTTCAGATTTCATGTAGACTTCCAATTTACCTTCAAGCATATCATCAACAAATTCTTGGATTGCTTCTACTCTGTATAAATAAGTGTAAGTTACTAACATTTTTTACAGATGCTTTTAAAGAATTTATTTTACTCACGAAAATTCTTTCTGCATGATGAATTTTTCACCCTTTGCATTTCTGGCCAAGATAACAGGTTTGTCGTCTTTGACATGATCTAAGCCATATTCATTTAATTCATGTTGGAAATCAGCTTTGGAACTAATAGCAAAATTTACTTTAGTCTTGTCTTTTGCAACCTAAGATATAATGTTTCATATAAGAACACATACAGAACAGAATAGTTGACAAATTCATACCTTAAGAACTCTGTTTCTCCAGTAATTAGTTCCTTTAGCATTTTTAACATAGTCAACATCATAGTATGCAACAACAAGAGGTTTGCTGAACTCTTGCATGTTATCTCTAGTTCTGTGACCAACCAACCCATGGCTAAAATATATTTTAAATAAGTTTTACTGTACTAATATCCATAAGTAATATCAAACTTACTAATTTTGTTGAATGAAAGAACTCAGTGCTTCTTTTGTTGCCTTGCCTTCGAATTTAACAGAACTTTCTTCAAATTTGTTTTTCAAATGGGGAGCGCGGAACAAGATAATATCATCACTGGAAAGTAATAGATGATATACCATCTCATTTTTTTAATACTGTAACAGTGCTAATTTAAACAAGTGATAATTTTACCCTACCTTACACTATATTTTTCTAATACATCTTTGTTGGAAGTGTGAGCAAATCGAACTTTCTCACGCATTTTGTCGGCCAGTTTCAAAAATTCTCCCTTAAGATCGGATTCTTTCTTGAAGAAACCTACTACAGCAACTTCATTTGGTTTCAAGAAAGCTTCCAATTGAGCCAACGATGTGACATCCTTAGAAGAAGGTCCAACCTGAGCTCTCATATATTTAACAATACCACCTGTTGAGAATTATTATATTAGTAAAGTACTAAAAATTAGAATTAAAGGAACAAAGATTGATGAAATTCACTTAAAGCATTATAACATTGTACCATAATTGCATTACATATAGACAATTGTTTAGATATCATACCAGCTTCTCGAGGTCCATTATAGTCTTGTGATAATTCCCCATTACGGAATATTTCAAAGTTGGATAGCCAGAAACTGAAAACTTTCCACAAGTGCTTTTACCGCCTTCAGTACAATCAACCTAGAATTGCACAATATTTTTTGTTTATTATTTTATTTAATTTTGCGCAAATTTATAAATAACATATGTCAGAACATCAAAACTAGATGAAATTTTATTACCTTAGCTAGAGCAATAGGTGTTTCATCTCCTTGAAGAGTCTCAGCAGCCTTTGCAAATTCGGGCTTCAAACGCTTGCAATGTCCACACCTGAACATTAAAACGTTAAAATTTTATAAATATGACAAGTTATAAGTGTATAATATATAATTACCATGGTGCATAGAACATAACCAGAGCGGTTTCCAATTCACCCAATCTTGCTGTAAAGTCATCGTCTGTCAATTCGTGTACGTGTTCTTCACCGGCTAAACAAAAACTTGCGGCCGATAAAATAAACAAAGCTTTTAATATTAACATTGTGCTATAATATAAAACTTTAATAAATAATTTAAAAATTGGTATAAACGTATACCAATACGTGGCCAACCGGTTACTGCAAAAAAAACAATAACCTTAATTATGTTTGAAGTTTTACCATCTACTGAAAACTGCCGTAAAGAGATAATAATTGTCTCATCCCACACAGTTTAAATGCCGTGTGGCGTGATCTCATTGGTTAAAATTCAAATGTTAGTATTACCTGATCTAATTATTAGCTTGTAAAACTAAAAAGCGGTAAACGCGATAAGTTTAAACTGTTCTACTAATCTTAATTGCTGATTGTGCAATAACTGTTATGATATTGCGTCAATCATTTCAAAACATTGCAAAAACATTTATCATTTAGCGATTATTCAAAATGCAGATAGAATGCAAGGTGAAAATTTTGCACATTGCAATAAATATTATATTATTTATAAATACACCCTGTAAACAAAATGCATTTTGTTTTTCAGTAAAAATGATTACATAAAAATATTTAAATTTTATTTGCATTTTACTTTTATTTATAATATTTTTTGATTTGAAGAAAGCCTTCATATTTGCACTAAATATTAATATTAGTCGAATATATAATAACAAACTTAAACAATAAACCATTAAATATATATATATATATATATATATATATATATATATATATTAGTATTATATATATATAGTTTTGTTCATATTAAACAATTAATATATATATATATATATATATATATATATATATATATATTTATATAAAGATATCTATATATATGAGTATTTACTACACATTTGCTGTTCACTATACAGTGCTACACGACAAAGAAAAAGCAATTCTAATACTAATTTCTTTTCTTATATTTATTATGAACAAATTGAATTTATAGTGTACACATTACAATTAATATTTTAAAAGATTTGTGCTTATGATGTGATATTATTGTTAAGCGTAGTATATATTATCTATTAATAGATATCTTCTAATAAATAATGAAATAAGTCAATATTTTGTGTTTCAGTATTCTGATTAGAATCTCATCTGTTCCAATGATTTTCAATATCAAAGTTGTGTTGCCCGATAGGACAGAATTTACAGCCAATTTGAAGTTTTCAGATGTAATACAGTAGTTTACATAACCTCTAATATTTCATGCAATTTGATTTAAACATGATATTTAAAATACCAATTACTTACACCATAGCACATTTCTGTATGTTATAATTCACCATGAGGGTGAATATATTATTTAAAAGTTTATTTATAGGTATTCCAATAAGCATCACATTTTTTGATTCCGTTGGCTATGTAGCAAGAGTCGAAGGTTTGAAATTACAACATTAGAGAGTATTACTTGAGAAATTGTAACCCTCATCAAAAATATTATGTTCAATTAGGCGTATCTATGCAACCTGCCCTGAACCCAAATGCATCAAAAACTGATTATGTTTACTTATCGCGCTGGGCTGTCCGTGATTACAATATAAACAGAGGTGATATCATTTCCTTGATATCACCAAAAAATCCTGAACAAATAATAATTAAAAGGGTTGTTGCACTAGAAGGAGATATTATAAACACCCCTTACTACAAAAGACCATATATGAAAATTCCTGAAGGCCACTGTTGGGTTGAAGGAGATCACACTGGTAAGCTCATTTCAAATAGTTCATTGCTTTTTATTTTAAAAATGGTTATTGTTCTTACATAGGTCATTCATTAGATAGTAATTTTTTTGGACCAGTTTCTTTAGGACTAATAACAGCAAAAGCATCTTGTATAATTTGGCCCCCCGCAAGATGGCAAAAGTTAGGATCATATATACCAAAACAAAGACAACAAGTATATGTAGAAAATGTACAATAGCTAATTTATTACTTTAGAATGTATTAGAATATCAAATGTAAATATTTATTAAATATAAATACAATTGTTATATTTTTTTCAAATCATATTTGCACAAAACATTTTCTGTTTCCTGGCAAGCCATGCCTTCCCTTAAAATCTTGTAGCATCCACTTTTTGATAAATCTACCATAGTAGATGCCGCTCTGCTTTTGGGGTCTTCAGAAATGTTTCCACCATCAAAAATTGCAGGAAGTTTATTCCAGATAGCACTAAATTCTGATATGGTCAAAGAACTTGGTTCTCCTCTTAAATTTGCGCTTGTTAAAGCTAATGGAAATCCACATAATTTTGTAATAGTTCTTATGAACTTATGATCTGGTATT